TACAACGCATATACAGTCACCGATGAGGTATTCAGACAGCATTGTATCGATTATGCCATCCATTTGTTCCAAAAGTGATAGTATTGTCTTCGGCGGTGATCTTTGAATCAAAAATATAAATATACACAAAATAATTAGACCTATAATTAGAATTAATTAATAAAAACTTACAAAAGATTCTCCTCTTCCTCTCTGTCCAACACTTCTGTTGTCTGAATGACATCTCGCATGAGAAACGGTATGAATCTATGAGACAAATGTGTAAAATGGGTATAAATTTGCAAATAATTAATTAATCTTTGCGTGAATTTACTTAATCATGAGTCGATGTGCTGATAGAGCGATAGAGTGTCGAGGGTTGACCACAAGTGGACAGAATGTATTGAAACAGTTCTCCTTATTTTGTGGTAAACATATATAATCATAGGGTTTGGCCATCTTTTGCACTGTAAGCGAGTGCTTGTAAGGGATTTGTGATAACAAGTCATTTATGACAGAATCGGTAAACAGAGTAACAGTTTTCGACAAATTCTTGATTAGAATGTCTCCATAAAAGTTCAATTCTTTTGCTAATTATTTATAAAACATATAAATTAATTAAAAGTTGACATAAATTAAGCCAAAGACTGACCGCATATTTCCATATAAAACGGGATTAATGTTAGGAAAAGGTTTGGCGAATGAAATTCATTCCATTCCTCCAACAGATTTGCCGGATATTTATCATTAGAAGCGCTGCTGATCTTAGCGTCAAATGTCTTACATATGGTTTGAATCAAATCCAACACTCTTGTGGCAAATATATTGATTGATAAACTCTTCGATAACTTTTCTTTTTTGTTAATAATATTCTGGAAATTAATTTTAATCATTGAAACCATTGTTTTTAAACACATTCTCAATACAAACCGTAAGCCAAGAAGTGGACGAACACAGGATTAAATCCCAATGAGTTTGCGTTAATTTGTCCCAATATTTATCAACAATAGAAGTAAACGTTTGAATTATAAGGGAATAGAATTGGAGATCGGAATCGGCTTCGATGTCACTAAACATAAATCACAAGAATTAGTGATTTAATTCAAATCCACTTTTAAATTATTGGTAAATGTCTATTCATTAGAATATTCCTTACTTTTTATAATAAAACAAACCAGAGTTGGACTCTTTAAGACCGCAAAATGTATCCATAATCGTTGTGATCGTTTCAGTCAACTCTTGGTGACCATCGTCTGAGTCTAAAGATAACCTCTTAAGACACGACTGAATTACAGCCAGTTTTGCGATTCCGTCGTCTAATTGCATGAAACGCTCGCAACAGATGAACGCATTCAACGATTGCACCAAATATTCATTCAAACGGTTTTGCGATAAAAGTTGCGAATATTTTTGAAATGTTACGATTTTGTTGTAATTAAGACTTTGCGAGAAAAATAACAAATATAAATACAAAACACTATTTCAAGACTACAGTATTAAAAATTACTTTTCAAACGACAACTCGTGTTGAAGTTCGCTGTCTTTATCGGCAAAGTGTTTAATAAAATGATTAAATGCTTGACTATTGACTCCATTATCTTCAATGGATCTGTAAATTTAGGTATAAATTAATTCATGAATCAAATTATTTCCGTATAAATAATTAACAAACAAACTTTTTCAGTAATATTTGTCCAATTTTTTCATTCAAACCACTGGTTTTAGTCAATTGTAGTATATTTGTTAGACTTTCGGTTAAAATTCGTTCAAATTTAGAAAAACAATTTGACTTAAGGCTAGACATCGACTTTATGGACACATAAGCGTCGGATATAAATATGTGTTTCAATTGGCCGGCAATTAAGTCCAACAAATCATTGTTTAATGCATTTTGTGTCTGTTGTTGCAGAAGTTTTTCAAACAAAACTACTGTCGCTATCGATGAGAAGACAAATGAGACACCAGTTGTGTCCATAGACTTAGTGGATATCATTTGACAGGTTTGCGGATCAAATAACGTGTCACTTGTGAGCCAATCGTACTGAACGACAGAATTGTCACATTTTGACCGCAATTCACACCATTCTGTGTCCGTTAATAGCATTAACTCCAAAATCAATGCTGTGTTCGGGTCTGAAAGCAGGGAAGTCTCGCTCACATCTGTGTCCATGTGTTCATGGAGTGTCTTATAAATAGTCTCAACGAGTTCAAAGGCGCACCGGTATGTCAGTCTAGCACTGGGGGCCAAAAAATATGTTTTAACTAAACCATAATTATAGTCATAACAAAATCGTTTACTTTTCAACTGAAGTGATGTTTGCCTGCAATCGGGATCTGATATGAAGTGCCAAACGTGTGATAACGCCGTCATCTTTAAGATACGCGCCGTTCGAGCGGACAATATTAGCCACTCCTGTCCGCCACGCCGTTGACAACTGTCCATTTGGGTCATCAATGCAACAATTGATGGCAAATATGGTTACCAACAGTTCTCGCGCTGAAGACAACTCTGTGCACAACTCGTACGAAGCAAACAGTTGTTGAGCCAAACGGCACGTGAAGTCAATGAGATGGTCATCGCTCGCAGAGGACTGTCGGCACGTGTTTTGCAAGGAATGCCTAAATTTATTGATCACTTCTTCGATGTATTGTCTGCCAAATGATTGGTCGACAAAACAGTGATTAATGAGTCGCCAAAGAATGTCTAAATCCCGTTGCGATGAAGCACTGGTCGACTCAATGCCGGCGTGTATTAACTGCGAGGTTTGGCTAACCAGTGAACGTCCGGCGCTATCGCTCCGAAGCCATTCGCGAAGGTATTCATCACTTGGTTTGGATGTAATTGTTGTGATTAAGGCTTCGGTGATATAGGGATCAGATAGGGAACAGATTTCGTCCAAAATGTTAAATTTTCGTTCTTTTTCGGCAATCATTGCCATCAAAGCAATGATAATATCAATTAGAATTCGGATGTGCTTTGACTTCTCATTTGATGGTAGACTAAGACTTTGCTTCTTGAGCCAAACTTTTAGATAATTAGCCCAAAAGTGATCAAAATTGTCTAAATTCAAACATTTGGTCAAAAACGCTACAAATCTATCACTTGTTTGCAGTCTTAATAAGTCGTACAACAGTTCCAACGATTGGTAATTATTTGAGTCGTTGTTATAGATGTCTATGAGTTGAACAGTGATTTTATTGATCACATCAACCGCCGATTCATTGTTTACCAATTGATTCAGTCGTAAACTCTTAGAACCGGTACAAGACTTGACTACTTCGGCATCACTTTCCCTCCGGAAACGTATCTTTTTATCACAGGAGACGGCATTTGAATCACAGAATAAACTCATGAATAGACGAGATATACGTGAAAACGAATTCAATTTGTTTAACTCAGTTAATTGAGTCAAACATATGTCACTTAATTCAGCGCTAATTATAGGAATCAAATGGTGATAATTATCAGTTCTTGTCGTCAAATATAGCCACAGACGACCTAAATCTGTGAACAATGAGGACTTGGATATTGTGGAGTCGGTGTCGGTTATGGCGTCACTCACGAGTGTTAATAACTACCGTAATATAAGACAAAATAAATCAAAATTTATAGCTATTATGACTAAATTATTGGACAAACGTGTTCTCGGATGAGGTGCGTCTGAAACTGTTGTTTAACTTGAATGTCATCAACAAATGTGTTGGACAGGGAGTACCGCAAACACTCCATATAGGCCTTGACCACAGCGTTGCACTCAAATTGGCTTTTATTAGTGACAGTCTTAGAAATACTAAAATTCAAAGTAAGGGAAATACTGGCGATTAATGTCTACAAAACAGGCTCTCATCTCATGCCTACCCTTCTCTCATGAATACATAAAACTCTTTGTGAAACGTAATGAACGCATCGGCGGACTCGTGAGGAATACGACTCAATAGTGGCAATAGATTTGGGAATAGAGTGGAAGCGTTGCCGCGACCGCCTTCTCTCACAACTGTCCGGAACTGCGGGTAAAAGGCTTTCCGGAAGTTTACGTTTTTCCAACTGTCCTGTAATCATACATTTCCATAAAGTATACCATCAATTAATTATTGATAAAAAATCATTAAGTGTTTCGTTTGAATACATCAATAGTGGTGACAGAGAGTAGAGCGCACTCCCAGAGAGCCGACGCCACCAACACATCCTTCTCGTCGAGCCCTCCAAGAGTTAAGCCACAGATCTTAGCGGCGTTTTCACGGAACAGATCCGGCGTGTATTGGGCTGTAGTGGACATCAACTTAAACCACGAGCTCCTTATCTATACAAACAATTTATTTCGGTTTTAAATGTAATAAATTGCAAACTCTTCAAGTGCTAACCAAAGAGTCCGGGTATTTAGCAAACTTCCAGAATTTATTGTTGCAAATCAAGTCCTTAAGACTAGTGTAAAACGGGTCCTCTTTATCGGTGAACAGATGGGAAGGGAGTGCGGCTATGAGTGCAGTCAACCCTTGCATGCAGTTGGCTATGAGTCGCGTGTATTTGGATTTATTCTCCTCAGCAGTAGATCTGGATTTAAGGTTCAATTCAATATTGCTTTCAATCAATACATAAACAATAAACGATTGTTAAAAACATACGTCAGTTCGCTAACGGATTCAATCGATTGATTCAATACCATGTCTTTGATATACTATTAAATTAAAACACAATTAATATTAACTCATATGAATAGTTGGTTCGCAATTCAATCCATACATTAATAATGACTTCTTTGGTGAACACTAAGACATCGGATTTCTTAGTCAATGGAAATGCGGTGTCGAAGGCACTGGTGGCAGCCGTGGCCGCAGGACTATAGCAATCGTATTGAGTGGTCAGCCATATGGGCATCAATTGCTTCAGATATGGCGCTATATTTCGGCCAACTTTTATCACCAGCTGTTCCTGTGATTTATGTGTGGCCTCTCTTACGCGCCAATCGTTGTCCTAAAATCACAGACCATTAGTGATCAACACTCACGAGACAATCATATATTAATGAACAGACAATCGCCAGCTTATTGTAAATCCGTGGCCATTGACTCAACACACGCTTCACATCCTCTTCGGACTTATCTTTAATCAATTGCTGGAACTCTTGCAATGCCTTCACGAGTAAAATATGATTACTTAATAAGAGTGGTATTCAGTGGAACAGCTATACGCCAAGAATACCTTCACTTTTGTGATGCAATCCTTTTTCGACATCTTCTTGAATATGACCCGAAAGTCTGCGTCAATGGAGAGGTCATCGGCGGCGGCCGTAGCGGTGGTGCCGGCGCTCTCATCTGATCCGGCGGTGGCACTGGCTATGGAGGCGGACAGGGATGAGAAGCCGATCAGTGTGTTGACTGAACCACTGGTGCCCAAGAGTTGAGCGCTTCGGCCACTACTCGATGGCTATCAGAAGATATGGATTACAAGAAAATAACGGATCAGTGAATACGAGTCACCGAAACATGTGATCAACGGATCAATTTGTGGTACTTTTGTGTTGCCTTTAGTTCGCTGCCCTTTAACCATGTCTTGAGCGGCAGTGGTGTCCGAGTCTTGAGATTAACACTTCAATCGGTATTTGGTTTCAAAACTTAATTGTAATTCAATTACAAAACGATTTAATTATGTTTTTCACTCAATATGTAAACAGCGATAAGAATTACATTGAGCGCCACTCACGCATACTGTGACATCATATTTATGGGGTACAAGTTTGCCCCCCTTTGGAGGTCTTTATTATGCAAAACACAATATTTTGTGAATAATATTGTGATAAGGGTTGCAATTTATTGATAAAATACAATAACGTTGTTTCTCAGTGTTAAAAATACATTGAATAATGTTTAGCATGTTAGACTAACAATAATTTACTTGATTAGTATTCAATTAATTTAAAAAAGTTAGAAAAATTATTAGATTTGATTGAATGCTATGACGAGTGAAAAGTAAAACTCAATATAATGTTCACAATGAGTGTTATATTGTGTAGAGTTTGGTGTTTGATAGGATTGGGGCGTGTTTTGTGAACTTCAAAACTTGTTAGTCTGTCACTAAAGTATGCAACAAATTGCAGGTCATGTTCAACACTCAAACGCAACCTCATCACCACCACCATGACCAGGCTCACACACGCACGCCAATCACACTTCACGTAGCATACAGACAAAAGTTTGAAAAGTTGTCCACAACTTGTAGTTTTCATTTGTCACCGCAATATGCGTGTGACTGTCATTCAAAAGTGAAACCCTGGGCTCATGTCATGGCAATAGGAGTCAAACTTTGAATAGACCGCAGGTTTATGTCAAATAAAAAATGTTTAAAATTTAGTTTTAGTTTTGAAACAAGGCAAATGTTGGGTAACTTGGGGGGGACTGTTTGCCCACCCCTTTAGCCCCTCACTGGGGATCCCCCGACAAGTGAGTCGATGTGTATTCAACTGCCGAAAGGCGTGTAATAATGAAAGGCAATGGAGTTTATGAGTGGAAAAAAGTTTTGATGTATTCATGACTCGTGTGACACGTGCTATGAATACCAGTGCCTGTGATTGGCTGTAGTGTTGGCCCACAGTTCACATCCAAATCGTTTAAGGCTTGCGTTTATCGTTCATTGCATTCATTCAGTCGTTAGACTAGACATACCTCACGACATATCACTCACGAGTATTAGGTGTCCCCCGATACATATCACCTCTTGTTTGCTCCCAACAAATCAGTGCTCAACAATGCGTGAAATAGTGCACATCCAGGCCGGACAGTGCGGCAATCAGATCGGCGCTAAGGTATGTGTCATCCCCTGTCCCTCCCATTCGCTGTCATTATCTCATTGTCCGCTTATTGTCGCACTGTTTGGATCAGTTCTGGGAAGTGATTAGCGACGAGCACGGCATCGACCCCACGGGTCACAGTGTGGGCGCCACTGACCTCCAGTTGGAGCGCATTAACGTCTACTACAACGAGACGTCCGGTGAGTGCGCGACGAGTGGCTGTGACCACCGGTGCCCTCATATATATAAGATATAGTATAACCTATGGGGTGTGTCCACAGGTAACTCCTACGTGCCGCGGGCTATACTCTTGGACTTAGAGCCGGGAACTATGGATGCGGTGCGGAGTTCGGCATTTGGTGCGCTCTTCCGTCCGGACAACTTCATCTTCGGCCAGTCGGGTGCCGGCAATAACTGGGCGAAAGGGCACTACACGGAGGGCGCCGAACTGGTCGACACTGTGCTCGATGTGGTGCGCAAAGAGGCCGAGGGTTGCGATTGTCTGCAGGGCTTCCAACTGACCCACTCGTTGGGCGGCGGCACCGGCTCCGGGATGGGGACACTCCTCATATCGAAGATTCGCGAGGAATATCCCGACCGTATTATGAATACATACAGCGTTATGCCCTCACCCAAGGTCTGGCCACTCGCTCATCGGTGGTGTTGATGGTATTAATGTGTTTGTGTGGACAGGTGTCGGACACAGTGGTGGAGCCGTACAACGCGACCCTATCTCTGCACCAATTGGTTGAGAACACCGATGAGTCCTATTGTATAGATAACGAAGCGCTGTATGACATCTGCTTCCGGACCCTTAAGCTGCCGACCCCTACCTATGGAGACCTCAATCACTTGGTGTCGATGACTATGTCCGGAGTGACCACTTGTTTGCGATTTCCGGGTCAACTCAATGCCGATCTGCGCAAACTGGCCGTTAATATGGTTCCCTTCCCGCGCCTTCACTTCTTCATAACGGGTTTCGCGCCGTTGACCTCCCGGGGCTCTCAACAGTACCGACCCCTAACTGTGCCCGAACTCACTCAGCAGATGTTTGACGCCAAGAATATGATGGCCGCGTGTGACCCGAGACACGGCCGCTATCTGACGGTTGCCTCGATTTTCAGGGGCCGGATGTCTATGAAGGAAGTGGACGAACAGATGCTGAACGTGCAGAACAAGAACAGCTCATACTTTGTCGAATGGATCCCCAATAACGTGAAGACCGCCGTTTGCGATATCGCACCCAAAGGACTCAAGATGGCCGCCACTTTCATCGGTAACTCCACTGCCATTCAGGAGCTCTTCAAACGTGTTTCCGATCAGTTCAATGGTATGCCGAGTGATGGTTGCCGAGTGAATAGTGTTTTGATTTTTGATCTGTTTTTTGTCATTTCAATAGCGATGTTCCGACGAAAGGCTTTCCTCCACTGGTATACGGGTGAGGGCATGGATGAGATGGAGTTCTCTGAGGCGGAGTCCAATATGAATGACTTGGTGTCTGAATACCAACAGTACCAGGAGTTGGCCGCCGAAGACGAGGGCGAGTTCGAGGAGGAAGAGGAGCCTATGATGTGAATGTGAATCTCGTGCACCTCTTGTTCATCTCAATTGATTGCATTTTTTATTTTTAAATCACTGGACCTTTTGGTGCAATATTTTGTATGTTTTCTAACTGTTTTTACGATATTTAATACTCTTTTAACGCAAAGTTTGATCATTTAATAAAAGATTTTACTCAAAAATATTCTATTTTAATTGAAAAATGTCAAAGTAAATGAAATATCAAGGTAAGTTTGATTAAGAATACAAATGTCAAATGAGGCATTTTAATGTCTGGGTAGTCTAAGTTATGGCTTCTGTATCCCCCTGACCATACTTTTAATTTACATTAACCCAAATTTGTTTTATTACTTTCATTTAACGGCTCAATTTTAACCTTTCTAATTACCATATTGTACCATGTACCATATTAATAACTAACCAGATGAATTCAAGTACAAATTATATAATTGGAGTAATAAGTAATATGACTCATATTATATGAGTGAACACCAATGATTGGCAATGAATTAAATACAGTATGATTTCTAAGACTAATAAGAATTTCCTATTAACTGTTGCACACAATATCCTGTCTGTCTGTTTAAATAATATATACTGTAGTGAAGTTCAAAGTCGAGATTCCTAAAATAACAAAACTGGTACAGTATTTGTTAATACTGAATATTTTACACTTTCTAATTACTTTTTAAAGTACATTTACTGAAATAACATTCAATGTAATATGAATCCAATGCACTGATAATTAAATGTGGGCCACTTTTAGTTGTATTTTCCATGTGGTTTTTGTGTGTAATGCCAAATTTAGTCTATTGCATAAGACTAGACACAACTGGTTATACTGTAGTAATGTTATTGATTTAATAGATACGGTAGTCTTCAGTCAATTGTCATTTAAAACAAATCTTTATTTCTTTTCTTTACAATTCATTGGTTGAAAAAATAACAAAAATTTCTTATAAAGAGTTATCACCAGAAAGTTGGAGATATAGGAGTGAAAGGAGTGGAAAGGGAAGGAATACCTGAGAAAGAAGTGACAAAATCTCAATTAGAAACGAAACGAACAAATCATTTAAATTACAATTAATTTCGTACATTAAATAAACAATTTATGAGTCCATCTTAAATAGCATTTGTAATCGTTTTAATAATAATTAAAAATATAATATTCAATAAATATATTCTCGGAATTGCCGCCAAATCCATCAATAATTACAACATTTGGTATAATTTATGCATTTTGTGGCCCAAAGAACCTCTAGTTTTGCCATTCGAGCAGATATTCAATCTTCCCGTCGGGTCTCACCCTTTGGGCCAATATATTGAAGGGCTGGTCATTGCGTGCGGAACCACCGCTCAGATAGCACTCCATTTTGGGGGTAGAGGTCTGCTCATCGGGAACGGTAGCACCGGCACCGTTGCTATCGGTGCCCCCGCACACCCCCACCGGCGACATGGGCTCCATTTTGCATGAGATTCTGGTGAGTGGACTGGGGCTGAGCGGACTGGACAGTCGACCGCGAAATAGTGTACTGATTATTAAATATTTCTATTTATTTATATACATTATCCCATTGTCTCGACATGCCATTAGTTCACTTGTTTTATGCCTTATTGTATGTACTCTTTGGCCCTCATTAGTGTCAATCAAATTGAATATATTGTATAATTATAGCGAGTGTTCGTGTTTCAAGCAAAATGTAATTAAATACTAGAACTTTCAGTATTTTAATGAAATTTTAATATAAATCGTCGAAAAATATATAAATTACTACACAGACATTTAATACAATATAATCCCTTGCGCAATAAAACTTATAACCGCAATAATTTTTATATTAAATGTAATTGTTTATAATATAGACTTTATATGGAAAAATGTTTACTGATGAATGGATTTTATTGAATGCTCTATTATATTTTTTAGTGCTAATTAATTATCAGACAATTAATGTTTGAACTAATATATAAATAATCTGAAACTCACTGCAAAAATTGCAATTTATATCTTTTAACTTAATATCTCTCTGAACCCCCACTAATCCATTCCCTAAATAATTGCCAGAATAGGTATTATCTTATTTTTTGCAATCAATAATAAACTCTTTTTATGTCTATATTTAAACACTGTATTGATTGACACCAAAGGGTTATCTATTTTTATTTATATCTCTTGTCTTCATTTTCTCGAAATATTTTTCTTTATTTGCGAATCAAGTTTGTAAACCACATAAACCTCTTTGTGTTGTATTTTTATAATTTTATTTTTGTCGTAAAACACAACTACCGTTAGGAAAGTCTCTTTAATTTTACGGTATTTAACGAAATACTCGTTTTTCAACTCGTATTCCGTCTCACGAGTCAGTCTAGGACTGAAAAAATGCATTTTATTATCATTTTCTTTGTGTTAATTATTTATTTGGTTTTCCCCTCAAAATACATAAATATTTAACTCGTTTTTTATTTCTCACATTTTATCTCAAAATTTTTGTGTTTCAATGAATTTTTACCCTTTTTTTAGAAGTAATTAAAAGTTCCAAACACTTCACTAACATTAATCTCTGTCCAAATCTCTCTCTCTCTCTCTCTCTCTCTCTCTCTCTCTCTCTAACCATGGATATGATGATTGGTATGGTATGTGTGTGGATATGATGTGCATTTGTAATGCCGTTTNCTCTCTCTCTCTCTCTCTCTCTCTCTCTTAATAGTAATTATTTTTATTGATTTTAACTGTTATATTGAGTTATCATTTTTATATTTCACATGCATTTCGACATTCGAGACCTTATTATTTAAAAAGTAAACATTCAACATTTATATGCCGTATATTTTAATAGAAACTTTATTTGTTTTATTATAACCTAATTATTTTACTAAATAAATAATGAATAAAGTAATTTATAGACTTTTATAAAAACACAGATAAAATACACTTTTTATAAACTTATGCCACAGAATGTGTGTGTGTTTCCGACCCCCACTAACCCTCTCGACACAAATATCCAGTTTATATGATAGTGTCGTTTAAGATAATTAATAATAAAACAAATTATAAATTATACACAAGTTTGTTGTGCACAAATAAGTTTTACCGTAAAAACAATTCAATTGAAAATATATATTCTCATGGATAAGGAAATAATATTTTACATGCACTAATCGATAGACATTACATTATTATAATAATAAGCGGTAATATTGAAAGTAAATTACTGCTAATTAGCGGTTGGATAATATATTCACTCGAATTAAAAATCAACAAATTTATGGGAAAATTATAGACATGTTTATACATAAAACAAACAAAATATTACTTTCTGAATAATTGAGACATTTCTATTAAATTACTTTTAATAATAGAGGTTTAATCAACTTATACAGTAGTGTTTATTTTTAATATTACTGTATAATTTTAAATTTATTTTACATGTTCCATGCTTATTTAATGAATACTTTATACTTTGTTTGATTTAAATTTAGTGAATTTTATTTGACTGTATATTAAAGTAAAGTCTTAATGAAATTGTATGAATAGATACCACTAACCCTCTCGACACAAATATCCAGTTTATATGATAGTGTCGTTTAAGATAATTAATAATAAAACAAATTATAAATTATACACAAGTTTGTTGTGCACAAATAAGTTTTACCGTAAAAACAATACAATTGAAAATATATATTCTCATGGATAAGGAAATAATATTTTATATGCACTAATCGATAGACATTACATTATTATAATAATAAGCGGTAATATTGAAAGTAAATTACTGCTAATTAGCGGTTGGATAATATATTCACCGGAATTAAAATCAACAAATTTTTGGGAAAATTATAGACATGTTTATACATAAAACAAACAAAATATTAGTTTCTGAATAATTGAGACATTTCTATTAAATTACTTTTAATAATAGAGGTTTAATCAACTTATACAGTACTGTAGTGTTAATTTAAATATTACTGTATAATTTAAAAATTATTTTACATGTTCCATGCTTATTTAATTAATATTTTATACTTGGTTTGATTTAAATTTAGTGAATTTTATTTGACTGTATATTAAAATAAAGTCTTAATGAAATTGTATGAATAGATTGACGCGAATGGCAGACAATGTTTGATTCGCTTCGAAGACTCATCACTACATTGGATCCGATTTGACGATTTGCACAAACAGTTGAGCGCCAACACCGTAATGGCCGACTCGGACATACTGTGCGCCATATGCCGGGACGGGAGGTCTCGCGCACCGAACGAGATAGTGATTTGCGATGTCTGTAATCAAGGCTATCACCAGAAGTGTCACAAGCCGTGTATCAGCGATGATATACTGGAGCCCGACATCCCCTGGACGTGTAGGCTCTGTGTGTTCGCGTTGGGCACCAAAGAGGGCGGCGCCGAACGCACCGGGATTATCGGCCGGGCTTTGAAACACATGAAACAAGAGTTTCCGTACGACTTGTCGGCCCTTCATTGGGACGCTGAACATGAGACCAACACTGAGCAGTCATACTGTTATTGCGGTGGGAATGGGAACTACTGGTCCAAAATGCTTCAGTGCTGGACATGCAGCCAATGGTTCCACGAGGCATGCATACAGGCGCTCGAGACGCCCCTACTATACGGTGACCACTACTACCAGTTCCGGTGTGCCGTCTGTTGCAAAGGCAAAGAGCAGCTGAAGAGGGTTGTCATTGACTGGTCAGACATGATAGCCATTGTGGTCAACAATCTGGCGCTTCAGCACCAGAAGAGGTTCTTCGACTTATCCGCAGATATCGTGCCGTTTGTCCAGAACTACGGAAACGTGTGGCGTATGCGCGAAGACATACAGAAACTCTCGGAACGGGAGCTCAGAGAACGCATCGATACCGCCCTCACCGCCGACGCCAACCGCTTCATCAACGGCCGGGAAGTGCGCAAAAAACACAGCTCATGGGCCCTCAGACTGCCCTTCCCTTTCGAGAAGCCGTTGATATTCGCACCGCCATCGACCTCCCAGTCCTCTCCCGCTGACACTGCAAAGTCAGCGCACAGAGCGGTGGTCGCCAGCAAACAGTCGACGCCTAAGACTACCTCAGCGCCACTCATATACGGCGCCTGTCGTAAGGGTGCCCTCAAACACCCGGTGCCCAATACGGGCGCACAAAATAACCGCACTTTAAATACGAGTAAAACGAATGCAAACATTAATAATAAGCCGATCGTTGTCCACATGAATGGCCGCAGCAATAGTTGCAGTTCGAGCACCGGTAGCAATAGCTGCACCGCGAGCACCGTCAGCATGAGTAGCCGGTCCTCCCAATTATCACTGACTGCCGCGAGGGCTGCCATCGCCAAGAAAAAGGCCAGAATGCGACCCAACCCTACGAAATGTAAATCCATTTCCTCGCCGCTCAATAAGCGTCGCAAATGTTTGCCCACAAAACGGGAGTTGAAATACACGCCCAATGTTTCGGAGGACAGTTGCTTCTCGGACACAGACCCGGCAGCTATACCTCGCGTTATAGAGTCGTTGGACGCCGTCATACCTGTGCCCAAGAACTTTGACGGACATAACAACCCGTTTGTGTCGGACGTGGACAACGAAATACGCGGTCGACTGTCCAGTCCGCTCAGCCCCAGTCCACTCACCAGAATCTCATGCAAAATGGAGCCCATGTCGCCGGTGGGGGTGTGCGGGGGCACCGATAGCAACGGTGCCGGTGCTACCGTTCCCG